AGCAGGACCGTCACCCGGTCCACGAACGACGCCCGCGGCCGAGAGTAGAAGCGCACGGGCGGCGAGAGGAGCAGCGCAGAGAGGGCCATGCGGGCGACGGCGCTTGACACCGTTGGCATTTGGATCGGGGCCGGTACGGAATTCTCGACTTGATCGCTCGTCTCGTTTTTCCCGTTGTGATTTTTACAGCCAGCACCCCGTTCCCACCCACCGCGGATCAATCTGAGCTCATCAAACTCTACTTTTGGCCCCACTCCCCCATCTCCTCGTCTCTCACCTTGTCCAAAAAAATGCGATGCGCACACCCACTTCTCCAGCCGGCGTTCGCGCTCCCCCCGCGCCATCTTCCGCACCCCACGCGCGCTTTGCGCACGTCACGCGCCTCTCTCGAGCTTACGTCGGCGCGCAACCCGCACCTCAAGCTAGCGCGGTCTCTCCTCCGGCGGCGCCACCGCGACAAAAACAACCTGATCCTTCTGGAGGGGCAGCGACTAATCGAGGACGCTCTCTCCGCGTCCTTCGCCCCGCACCAACTGTTCTACTCCGACAAGTTGCTGCGCCGAAGCGCGGCAATGGGCGCACTCCTCGCCGACGTACGCCGCTCGGGCTGCGCGCCCATGCTCGTGGCTGAGCCCATCATGCGCTCGCTGTGCAACACCGTGAGCCCGCAGGGCGTGGTGGCGGTGCTCGAGCGCCCGGCCCTGCCGCTGCCGGATTCCGGCACGCTCGCGCTCGTGTGCGACGAGGTGCGCGACCCCGGCAACGTCGGCACCCTGCTTCGATCCGCTGCGGGCGCGGGCGTGGACGCTGTGCTGATGACACACGGGTGCGCGGACCCATGGGGGCTCAAGGTGCTCCGCGCGGGCATGGGGGCCCACTTCCGCCTCCCGGTGCAGGTGGACCAGAGTTGGGACGAGGTCATGCAGGTGGTACACAAGTGGGGGTGTGAAGTGAGCGTGGCGGATGGGGGTGGAGAGGATTATGCAAAGGTGGATTGGTGTGGACCCGCCGCGATAGTCGTTGGGGGGGAGGCAAATGGACCCGGGGAGAGGGCGTTTCAGGAGGCACAGGGAAGGGTGGTCGGGATTCCGCTTTGTTCGGGGATGGAGAGCTTGAATGCCGCCGTGGCAGGGAGCGTAGTGCTCTTCGAAGTCAGGAGGCAACGCCATTCGTGTGTTGTCTCCTGAACCCGAACAGTACCCTTCTGGGCAGCTCAATTCTAAACGCTTTTCAGAAAAGCAAAAATCGTTGAATATACCAATCACAACGATATTTTCTTGCCCGACCTGAGGGGTGTTCTAGGTGTTTTTAAAAGTCGGAAATTTGGAAATCGGAAATTGTACAGCAGGGCACCGATTTCCAATTTCCATCTTGGATCCGGTCCAAAACATTTTGGAAACTTTTTACGGACACCCAATCATGTCGCACTCACGTGGGGAGTATTAGGTTATAGGCTAGGCGTGCTCGTACAGTGTCGTTCCCTGCTTGATTAACGTAACGTACCATGCGTGCTCCCTTTCGCCGTCGTCTGGCTCGGCGGGCTTTCCCGATGCGCATACTGTCAAAGATCGAAAAGCGAAGGCCACCAGGGAGACAATGCAAGTTTTACTGTCTGCGGTTGTGCAAGCGACCATGAGATGTATGGATCTCTGCGCAAGGGAAACTCTAAAGAGAAACCTCTGAAAAACATAAAGATTTCGAAATGTTGCCGTCGTCGGCGTAAAACATAAAAATTTCAGAAAGAAATTTTGCCGAGAAATTTTGCCGTCGTCGGCACTCTTAATTGCCCTAATTGCAGCCCTTCCTCCCTCAACCCTCCCCACTCTCTATCTCACTCTCCGGCACCCCGCACAGCCTGTCGCTCTCCCACGCCGCACAGCCCGGCACCCCACACAGCCTGTCGCTCTCCCGCCCCGCACAGCCCGGCACGCCGCACAGCCTGTCGCTCTCTGTCGCTCTCCACTGTTCTGTTCTCTTCGCGAGTCCCCCACGGTTCTACCGTGACACAGCGGCTGAGATAGATCTCACGCTGAAGAGGGGACTCCGAAGACTACTGTAGGAGCTGCAGTTACATGAGCAAGTCACACGCTGCTCTATGTGAGGAGGCGGTGTTCGGGAAGTTCGTTTCAGTAAAGGCTCGTGAAGCCTTTATTTCGTACGTAGACTACAAAGGGAAGGTGGAGGGGCGCAATAAATTCAGCATTCTAGAGAATCTGATAGCAGTCTCCAAAGACTTCTCGAGTTGCATGGAAAAGATACGGGGAGAAAATGAAAGCAGGGTCGGAGGTAGTCACTATGCTGCGGTCGAGGATGAGATTGAACGACGGAGCATACCGGGTCGCACGCATGAATGGATGGAAGAGGAAGTTTGGCCTGAGCCGGACTATGTAGTGTAAGGCAATGTTGGCGATGTGGAGAGTAAAGCTGAGTGTGCCAACCACGACAATGAATACCACTACACGTTCGAGTTGTGGACTGAGTGGCTTTCGGAGGAAAGCGCGGATAAAGGAGAGGAACTGAGAAAAATTGGCACGGACGAGTGCACGGCGTAAGGAGCGAATTGAGAGCCTTGTCTACGACCGCCTTTTTGATGGCCGCGCAATACTTAGGGGATGAAGAAGATAAGGAACTACAAAACGGAATTTTAGAGCTAGCCAGGCGAACAGGACGGCGAACAAGGAACCGAAGAGGGGGAATAAGAGCAAGGCATGCTGAGAAGAAAAAACGATAAACTGGTAAACTATCCAAGTCCCAATTGCGTGCACGTCGAAGAAGGAAGGGGAAGCAGAAACACATCGCTCACGTACATGGTATTATAACGAAATAAAATGCAGCATTCTGCTTTTTTCTTCGCCTCCTTATCGCAAGAAGCCATGTTACGTCAGCTAGAGAACTGAGGAATTGGCTTCCTTTGTCTCACAACGCAACCTTGTACCAAAGTAGTCGATCCAATTAGTCGATCCAATTTCCTCCAATTTCCTCCAATTTCCTACCAAATATTCGAGATCCATTATTTCTCACCATTATACAACAGATATTTCCGATCTAGTGATCTCGCTGCAAGCTTCACATAAATTCGACAGGAGATCCCTCCTCCATCCCGGGCCCCCATTACTCTGTTCTCATATGCTTCTCGACTCCCCGCTTCTACTCTTGCACTTATCTTTCATGCCAACTGTTGCATCCTCCCAACTACTCTTGCTTCCTGCCTCTTAATTTTCTGCGCCTTTTCGCTGTTTATTTGTCTCGCGCCCCCGCCCCTTCTGCATGCAATAAGAAGTGCGTTCTACAGCGTTGAGACTGATCTCACGCTGGAGCGGGGCAGCGCATCGCTCAAGTCAAGGTTTCGGTACTGTAGTGACACGATGGATTGGTTCGGGTGCCGCTTGGTGTTGCCGACGAGGTTTGGCGGCTGCCATCTGGTTAGGAGGTAACACCATCAAAAGCGCTCAGGGATATTGGTGCAGTCTTGTTTGGATTGGAGGGACTGTGAAAGCATGAAGGGCGTGGGGTCTGCCTCTGTCTCTGCGAATGTAAACTTATCTACGGAGAAGGGTGAACGTCAGGCAAAGGTATATGCGTGCTTGAATTTCATACAAGCAAAATCGATGAGGTTTATCCCTAAAGATGGTACCAAACGTAACTTTACCAAAGAAGATATCACTGTACTTCGCTCTTACATAGACAGAAACTTGAAGCAACAATCCTGTGAAGATGAGGTGTTGAGTTGGGTTGAGTACTGCCAACGACAGATGCAGCTAAGCAGTGTGCTTCTCGATGCCGGTTTGGATCAGCTCGAACCAAAGCGGTTTGGTATAATCGGGCATTCGAATCAGGGCACTGCATTGTGCTCTGAGAACACTCTACGCAAAAGAAATCGTAAACGAAAATTGAACCGGCAGTTAATAAGAACGCTTCGCAAAGATCTTGGCAGTGTCCTCTGTAGCAAAGTAAATACGGTTCCCTCTATCTTTTTACCCATCAATCTAGGAAACATTCATTGGGGCTACATCATGTCCTTGCCGTCTTCCACTAATGAAGCCATCCCTGAAGCACAACTTTTCTTTGGGGATGACCTCGGATGGAAAGCTCCAGAGGGGCTTTTTGCGACTGCGAAGGAATATCTTCAATTTCTCTTTCCACAACTGCAGTGGAAGATCAACAAAAAGAACCACGCCCTGGACATTCTGAAGCTCAAGAAGCAAACGGATGGTTATAGTTGCGGGTTTTACTTTTAGCTGCAGCTCAGACTTTAACGATGAGAGAGGGTAATGATTCTCGGGCTATTCAATCAGCATCCGTTGTAGAGAGGTACCTTCAACAATGTGTTGAATCACACTTATCTCTAATTGTTATGGCTTATGCGGAAACGAAACATCGCAATCTCTCTGATATTAACGTTATTAGATACATGAAAGAAACGGCGGTGGCAAGGCGTATTGAACGATATGCCCACAATGAATCGCATCCCTTCGCTTACAGCAAGTTGACTACATGCAAGAGGACATCAGAACCTTCAGCACCAGTTGAAGACGATCTTTTCCCAGGTGAGATAGAAGAAGTATCTAGCAGTGCCAGCAGTATCTCATTAATGCGGAGGAACGCACAGACCGTCGAAAAAAATTCATTCTCACTTGAGAATTGTTCACTGTCCGGTGTGAATATCCCTCCTGGATTCTTTAACGATAGAAGGCACAGCATTGTCCAGCTTAAAGGTGTAGATCTTCCTCATGAAACAAGATTTCCATCCGGAATAGCAGCAGTTCCCGAAAAAATTGTCGAAGATCTCTGTGGACGTCTCGGGGAGTTGTTCGAAGAAGGCCATTGTCGCATAAACACCCCACACACGGCGGAGGGGTGTTCGCGATGTTCGGCGGAAGACCCGGGATCGGTGTACCGAGGGTCTTGAACCAACCAACGCCACCGGAAGCGGGCCGGTAGCGGGTGGTAGAGCGTGGTCGGCGGGGACGCGCGCGTAGGCAAGCGGATCGACGCCTCGACGCCTCGGAGCAGTACCCCTCCAGAGGGGCTCAATTTGGGACAGCTTTTGTGCAACGCCTCCCGTGCATCCAAAGAATGTCGTTTTCCAGTCTGGTAAAGCCTCATTTGACAGTCATTGGACACCACCATCAATCCCAATCATCGTGAAACTTCATTGGTTAATATTTTTCCAACGGCTAGGCCAAGTCAGCATTGATATCTTAACCGCGCAAAAACAAAAAAGGGTTCAATTTGGGACACATTCTTATTCTCATTTGGGTCAGTGTTTACTCGCTAGCTGCATCAAGGCACTCACTGCAACACCGCAATCGGCCGTCCCTTGATCATCCGACGCCCTCCCACTACTCTGAGCGCAAACAACGATGGCATCAGAACGATCAGCTCCACTTACAGATGCTGTCTCACCCAAAATATTCCTGTTTTGGCAGTTTCGATACAACTTCTTTCTTTTCCGTTCTGCTCGCGCTTCCGCTTTCTGCTTCTTTTCTAAAGCCTTGCATGCGATATTATCCTTTTTCGCAATCGCTTTGCGATTAGCCTCTGCGCCGGCTTCAATCTCGGCGTCCTTCCGACGATGGAAAATATCCCCAACTGTCAAACACTGCGCTGGTGCCCCGACGCACAATGTTTTCCTGCTGACAGACTTACTGTTGGCCACTGGACTAGGACGTATTCCCTGTAATATCGAGGATACAGTCTCGCGCTCTTTCAGTAATCTCGAGATGGCATCAATGGCCACCGGCGGACTTCGTTCACGGCTAAGCACGGCCGCCAATTCCTTCATTGTTTCGCCATCTGCATGCCGTTGCTGAACACTCGTGACTGACGGCACTGGACTCGAATTTTGTAGACGAATAGCTTTTTCTTTCGCAGCATGCAAATGTTCCCGCTTTTTTTGTTTAAACTTTTCCATGAAGCGGAACTCCATCGGCCAGAGGCCGGTGTTAATAAACGCTTGTCTCCCTATATCGGGAGTCAATGCCGCATGACCGGCTACGGCTAATTTCAGCTTGAAGCCCATCGAGTGAACGTTAATTAGAGCCATGCGAAGCAATTTATCTCTGGTACAGCGCACTTCCTTTTGAAACTGTTTGTTAATTACGTCATCGCGAGGCTGCAAAAAAAGGGTTATGTTAGCAGGGAGGACCACGAGCTCAATGTTACACTTTAGGGCTTCTTCGATCCA